CGGCCGGTGGGGCGCCCCCGGGCCCTTAGGGCCTCCGAGGGCCGTCCCGCCCCCGCCGGCGTCCGGGCCGCGTAGTGGCTGTGCAGCGCGGGGCCCGCCCACCAGGCCCTGGCCGTTCCTCATTGGCCCGGCCGAGCGCGGCCCCTCCTCTGATTGGCTACGGATGGAGGGGTCAGCCATTGGCTGAGCTCGTGGCCTTCGGGAGAGTCGAATTGGCCCTAGCCGGGTGGGCGGAGCCTGTCGGCTACCTGAGAGGCACAGCGGCAGGTGTGGGTCCTTGCGACCCGGGAAGTTTCGCGGACACCGACACCTGAACCGGAACCCGTGCAGCCGGGCCGGCCAATAGGGCTCTAGTGGGGCTCGGGGAGGTGGGCTTCCCAGGCCGTGGCTGCCGTGTAGAGGAGCGGGCGGCCCTGTCACAGATTCTCGTCCAGACACTGACCAGGATCCTCCATGTCACCTGGCTCTGGTATTGACGACGACTCCTGTAACTGCATTGCCGGCTGAGGCGCCTTTAGTACAACTTATGTTTATTCCTTTTTGTTATCTGCTTCCAAGTAAACTGTCCTTTGAAATTTCTGCATTTTATTTTTCCTTTTATTGTAAAACGTGGTTCACGTAAAGTCGAGTCAGTTACCATTAACTTTTCATTTCTTCCTAGACAAGTATTTTTGTTAGTAGTCTATATACTAACAACAAACAGGGTGAATTCGAAAGTTTACAATAGTATAAAAATATAAGTACCTAACGATGAATACAATAGAAGTCATATGAGTCCTTAAAAGAGAAAATCAAAGCCTTCAACTGAATTTTAATAGAAATGCTACTCTCCCATGCACACTTCATCAGCGATATTTTATTAAATTTCATAAAAATGATAGATTCAGGCAGCATTTTCAGGTTTGCAAACACCACGACTCCAATAATATGAGCAGCTAACTTGCCTAAAGCCACTTGTCCTAAAAGATGTTTGCTAAATTACTAATTTGCTGAATTTACCAAGTTTACCAATTCAGCAAAAAGTTAAAAATTAATGTTTTTGAACATTATCAATCAATGTTATTCTTTTGAAAAGATTCTTTTCGAACATATTCTCTAGTGTCAATGTGGGACTTGTATCAATGTGTGGAAATGGAGCTTTTTAATCTTTCTACGCCTAGTTTTTAAAACGTCAGTGCATATATTCTTATGAATATAAGCAAAATTTCAGCGTTTCATACTACATTTTTTTTCCAGTTTATAGAAGTCTCCAGACACCTTTTTGGACTACATTTTAGTATTTAGAATTGTTTTGCCGATCTCACCAAATTTCCAGGTTTGCCAGCTTGTGGTCTCCTCAAGCTGGCGGAACAAAGCGTTCGGAGCTGGCGGCTTGGAACAGGAGGCGTTGCCCTGCGTCGGGGTCTCCGGGTCTCCAGATCTCCCCCTTCTTAGAAGGACACGACTCACTCGGTTTAATCTAGTGTGACTTCACATCTCCAAAGACCCCATTTCCACATAAGGTCACCAGCAGGTACCACGGGTCAGGACTTCCACTGATGGGGGGCACCACTTCACCCACAACAGGTTATGGTGTGGTTTAACAGGTTTATAGGGTATTCTGAAGTGTTGGTTCACTTTTCTTTCTCTTTTCTTAAATTTTAAAGACAGCTCAGTTTGTATCTGCTCAGTTTCCCAAACCGCAGTTGGAGGGAGCAGGGCAGAGGCTAGATCTGAGGGGTAAAGAAAGAGGGGGTCCAGGAACCTAGGTGAGTCCAGAGGGGCTGAGAGGAGAGCGAGGGAGAAGAGGAACGTGAACTGGGAGACAAATAGGGGGCGGAAGAGCCCCCGGAACCTGCAATTCCGGCACAGCTGCCTTAGTCCTGCCCATCTAGCCAGCCCGGAAGGGCCTGGCACCGGCTTCGCTACCCCTTTCCCCTCGTTCTAAGGGGCAGTCGCCCTGGTTTGAGAACCCAACCCCTGCGCCTTTGGGGAGTCAGCCTCACCCCTACCCCCGGAGGCCCTGCGCTGTCTTCCACCACGTGTTTTGCACGTACCGGTCCAGCTCCCTGAAACGTGCCCTCCCCTTCTGTCCAGCGAGCTCCTAGGCACCCCCTGAACCTCTCCCAGCGACGCCGGCCCCCTACCGCATCGCTTCCCCGCACCAGACCGTGAGCGCCCCTCCGAACCGGCACAAACCAGTTTTGGACTCGGGCACAGCTCGATCAGCCACTGGCTCTACCGCGGCGCGTCCCGGCGCGTGACGGTGGACAAGTCAATTCGTCCCTCAGTCGTGCCTCAGTTTCCTGCGGTGTCGCCAGGCACATTCCGGTGCTCTCTTCGCCGGGGCGGTGGGAGCCCTTCGCGCTCCCCGGAGGAGCCCCGGGCCGGGAGGCTGACCCTCGCTATCGGGGGGGCTCAGATAGGCCCGCGTTCGCAGAGGTGCGGGGCACCGGGTGGGACAGTGCAGGGGGCGGGGACGCGCGGCCGGGGGCCCGGGTGAGGTCATAGAGGGATGTGCGGGACTCCCATCCGGACGCCCGGGGGCGGGTCCGGGCGCGGCCAGGCGCGGGATTGGCGGGGGCCGACGGGCGCGTGGGCGGGGCGCCGGTCTCCAGGGAAACCCGACGCTCTCCGACCCCCGCGCGGCGCCCAGTGGGGACTAGCGAGCCCGGCCGCACCGCTGAGGCCGTCGCCCCGGGCAGACCCGGTGCGGTGGGAGCGAGCTTTCCGAGCCTCAGTGCGACCCCGCAGCAGGGGTGCAGTCGGGATCCCGGCGGGGACGCCCCGAGTCGCGGTGAGCCGGATGGGGGATCCCCGAGCCCCGCGGAGGCAGCGGGCGTGGCCGGCGCGTGTGTCCCACGCCCCGTGGGCCTGGCCCGCTGTCCTCCGGGGGAGGAGCAGAGCGGAGTTGGGACCCGACGTGCGTGAGAGGCTATGAGTGTGGGGTTGAGTGGGGGCCGTGTCCCCGCACCGGGCCCCGCCGGACTGGCTCCTGAGGCCCGGGAGGAAGGGGGAGCCCGCTGAGTGTGGACCCCTCCCGGCGCAGGACTGACTCTGCCGCGTGGCCCCGACGGGGCTTCCCGTGGTTCCCGCCCTATGGGAGGGACAACAACGCCCTCGGAGCGGGCGAAGGTTCCCTGGATTCCTACAGGATGGAGGGGCGCGGCCCTGGGCGGGGCCGGATTAGGGGAGGGGCCTGTTCCTGGAGCCCAGCGGGGCGAGGGCAGTCTGCAGTGCCCGCCAGGCCCCTGATGGCTTTGTGGTTCCCCACTTTGCTTCTAGGTTCAAAGACGAGAGACATGGAAAGTGGTCGTTCCTCACTCTTGCAGGATGAAGTCCCAGACGGTGACCAGCTGGAGGCGAGGGGCAGCGAGCCTGCTGCCTCTGAGGCCCCAGGGACCCCGGAGAGCTCTAGGCTCTTCAAAAGGTCTGACTCTCCCCCTGGGGACCAGACCTAGCTGGGACCTAGCTTTGGGGCAAGTGTTAAAAATTAGCTGCAAGTTATTTTATATCTTCAAAAATGAGTCTCTGGGGAAACAGAAAAACCATGTTGTGTCAACAGCCCCTGAGAAAAATGACCCTAATGGGTAGCAGGGCCTGGAGCTGACCTCGGAACCTCCCTTCTGGCCTGCCCACTCTGCTCCTGCCATGTCACGGCCTCACAGCCTCAGGGACATTCGCTTTACACCATCGGGGGCCGGGTTGCCCGCTTTCTCACAGGACGTGGCTGCTGTGAGAGCTGACGCATCGCAGGCCTGCGTGGGCCAGGTGCTGCCCTCGGAGCGTCACCTTGGGGTCTCAGGAAGTGCGCTCTGTAACCCGTTGTGTTTGTCCCTATGACGGGCTGAATCGTGTCCCCCACCCCCGAAATTTTTATGTGGAAGCCCTAACCTTCTGTGATGGTGTTAGGGAGGAGGCTTTGGGGTAGGTAATTAGTTTTAGATGGGTTGTGGGGGTGGGGCCCCCGATGGCATTAGTGCCCTCATAAGAAGGACAAGCGGGGACCAACAGCTTCCTCCGCCACGTGAAGACGCGGTGGAAGCCAGCCCTCCCGGAGGTCTGCCTCCCCCCACCTCGACCTGGGGCTCCAGTCTCCAGAAGTGGGAGGAACGCACGTCTGTTGTTTAAGCCCCCAGCTGTGGTGTTTGTGGACTGGCATCCCCAGTGGACTGGCATCGCCCCCATTTTACAGATGAGGAAACTGAGTCACGAGGGAGTAAGGAGCCCATCTGGTGGCAGAGCTGAGTGGCCAAACTCTCGCCCACCTGCCAGCTGACCGTTCCTGGTGACCCGCAGCGGGCCTTACAGCTGGCTGACTGCAGTGATGATTTTCTTGCTTAACCTCGAAATACTTTTCATTTCTTCTGTTCTCGCTGTCAGTTATCCTGCCCCCATGTTTTTATTAACAATAATATGTGCTTCATGCAGAAACATGAGAAAATGCTGGTGTGTGAGTTTGCTAGGGCTGTGGCGAAGTTCCCGACTGGGCGGCTTTGCGGCAGAAATGCACTGTTTTCAGTTCTGGAGGCGGGAAGCCTGAGACCGAGGTGTGGCCGGGGCTGTCCCTCTGAGGCCACGGTGGGACGTGTCCCAGGCCTGTTCCCAGGCGTGCAGACGGCCGTCTCCTCTCTGTGTCTGCACATCATCTCTGTGCATTTCCGTGCCCAAACTTCCCCCTTAAAAAAAGGGGACTGCAGACACTGGCTTCGAGCCCACCCTGGCGACCTCACTTTAACTCGATCACTTGTGTAAGGGTCCCATCTCCAATGAAGTCACATTGTGTGGTTCTGGGGGGGTGGGTAGGACTCCAACACATGAATTTTTTTTGAGGGGGGATGGCACAATTCAAACCATAACCACAGGTAAGCAAAAAAATTAAAAACCCACCAAAAAACCAAAAACAAACCGAGTCAGAGCCCCGCACTTCACTGTTGCACGCGGCGTCTGTCCTTCCTGGCTTCTTCCTGGAGGCATCAGCAGCGCGGCAGACAGAGGGGGTCGCGTTTGCAGCAGCCGAATCCCCCTTCGCTGGGCAGGTGCTTTGTTTGGTGTCTGTGGCTTGCGGCTGGCGTTTGAGGGCCGTCTGCTGGAGGAGGCTCAGAGCGTGCGGGTTCCCACACGGTGTGTGGCCGGCCAGCGGCACAGGCCTAGGCAGAGAGACCCGGACGCAGTACCCCAAGGGAGGCCTTTAGAGTGGGGTGTGTGTGTGACGGGGCGGGGGCGTGTCCCCTTTAATGCAGGAACAGGGAAGGAGCGAGCCCTCCCTGGCCCGTGCTCCCTGCCCCTCACCCAGCACCCGCCTCTTCCGCACCCTTCCATCACCTGCGAGTCCACTCACCGCCACTCAGGCCGCTCAGGTCGACCCTCCGTCCGGAGCCCCCTCTCCCCGGTCAGACGTTCATCCATCCACACGTCTGCCCGGTGTCTGCCTCCTGGCCTGCTCTGCACGGTGCAGCCGGCTCACGAGAGAGGAGAAGACCTGCAGGGGGCGCTCGGGGTGGGGGGGCAGGTGAGGGAGACGAGGCTCGCCCAGCAACCGGCTCGAGTGGGGCGACCGTCTGCTTCCAGGGGTACCACAGCCATTGCCCGTGACAGACGGACACCGGGCCACACGCTTACTGTGCTTTCTGCTTCCTGTGTGACCCTGGGCAGTCGTGCACCCCCTCTGCCTCAGTTTCCCTTTCTGGAGAGGGGGAGGGCAGCAGCACCTGCCCCAGGGGGTGCTGGGAGGATGAAATGAGGCGGTGGGTGCTTCTCAGCACACAGTCGCTCTGACGACCTGCAGCCAGTGCGGTTCTCACCCCCACTGCCTCCCCCAGGGACGCCCCAGAAGCCCCAGAGGCCCCCGAGGAGGAGGAGGAGGAGCAGGAGCAGGAGCAGGAGCGGGAGGAGGAGCAGGAGGAGGAGGAAGAGCAGGAGTCCGAGGGCTCCCGAAGGGAGCTGGACCTGAAGGAGGCCTACGTCCAGCTCGTCCAGGGCGTGCAGGAGTGGCAGGACGGCTGCGTCTACAGAGGGCAGTTCGGGCTGGACATGAAGCTGGGATATGGCGAATTCTCGTGGCCTACGGGCGAGGTAAGAGGCACATGCCACCTCCTCGGTCACCCCCAGGGCGCGGCCAGCGGCAGGAGTCGTCCCCCGGGTGCGTGCCTCTCCTCCGCGGGGTGTGCCATGAGCTGGCAGGTCTGTCAGCAGGAGGTCTGCAGGGCCAATGTCTTTCCTACCCAAGAAATGCCTAGAACGTGCCCTTAGCTCTGAGGAGCCCACGGACCTCACGTGGCCAGGACAGAGGCTGGAAGGGCAGGACCTGAGCTCGTGCTGCTTGTCACCGAATGCAGGACATCAGTGACGGGGGCCCTGGCCCTTGTCCAGCGTCTGTTTCTGTAGTCCTCGGCTAGCTTCTCTTCGCCCAGCATGGGGGTGTCCCGGGGCCAGACTGCCCTCGCAGTGGTGGGAGGTTTGGGCACCAGGCTCTCCCCAGAAGGAAGACGGGGGTGGGGGGCTGAGGGGAAGCCTGGCAGGGAGCTCCGGGTCCCCGGGCTGCGCTCCACCGGAGGCCAGCAGGAAGATGGGGGTTGTGGGGTGGAGGGGAGCACAGAGACGGTCACCCCACTGCTGGGGTTAGGGATCCCCCCACAGCCCTGCATAAACGGTTTGCAACGTAGGATATTTTTTAGTCGGGGAGACTCTGATACTCCCCACAACAGTACAAATGGAGGCGAGGAGGGGTGGTCCCCAGCCCGGTGCCCCTCTGCCCGCCCAGTGCCCGCACTGCCGACTAGGGGGCGTGACTGCCAGGACCCACGTCAGACCCATTCACTGCTGGCCCGGCGTGGCAGCTCAGCTGGGGCGTGTCCTGTAAGGTTCCCGGGGTGCGGGGCAGCTTCTCCGGCGGCACCCCCGTCACAGCGCCCTCTGCCTGCAGTCCTACCACGGGCAGTTCTACCGGGACCACCGCCACGGCGTGGGCACCTACATGTGGCCGGACGGCTCCAGCTTCACTGGCATGTTCTACCTCAGCCACCGAGAAGGCTATGGCACCATGTACATGAAGGCGAGGCTCTTCCAGGTGAGGGGCCGGGGCTGCCACGCGTGCCGTCCGCGGGGCAAAGACGATGATCTAGGTTCTGCGGAAGTTTGCGGCTTATTTTTAATGATTGTAATAGTACCGGTAATAACGTACATGAAGGTCAAAACGTAAAGAGAAGAAATCGAAAGCCTCTTCATTATTCCACCCCGGAGCAGGGACGGGGACCAGCAGGTCATGTACATATTTTGACTGAACAGCAAACGCACCTGAATATTTGCTTTTCCATACGTGAAGTGGATCGTTCTGTGTGTATTGTTTTGAAACGTGCCTTTTTTCCCCCTCAGAGAACATTCCTGGTTTTGCAGATACAGATACCTTTTCCCTTCTCGTTTTATTACGGTACAATTTACCGTGAAATCCGCCCACTTTCGTACACAGTTCTGACGGCTTTGAAAGCACAGAGTCGTATAAGCCCTGCCACGTGAAGACACGCGCGGCTCCGTCCCCCGGCGTTCCGTGTGCCTCCTCCCACCCCCCGCCCTCGACCGACTCCTTCCCGCCCGTAATTCTGCCTTTGGGAGAACGCCATGTCCATGACATCACATGATGCATAAGCCTGTGAGGTAGCGTCTTTCACTTAACAGAAGGCACGGGAGGTTCACGCGCGTAGTTGTGTGTACGGAAGGCTTCGCCCTTCTTACTGCCGAGTCCGCATCCACGGCAGGCCTGCCGCAGCTCACACGCCCCCGGCTGCAGACGTGCGGGCTGTTTCCGGTGCAGGCAATTATGAGCGAAGCTGCTTTCTTTATAGGTAGATACACGCATGTGCGTGGTTTTTGTGTGCGTGCGTGTGTGCGCACGTGCGTAAACACCGATCCTCCAGACTCTCTGCTCCAGCTCCACTCCGCCCTCCGGCCCTTGACACCAACGGTCTGTTTCTCATGATCAGATTCTCCTTCGTCGTAATTTCACATAAGTGGAATCGTATGGCATTTAGCATTCAGTGTTCGGTTTCTTTGGCTTAGGACAGGATTCTTTTGAGATTCATGCACGTTTTATATATTTCTGTGGTTCGTTTCTTTATATTACGGAGTCGTATTCCGTCACATGGCTTCGAGACATTTTTTTATTGATTCACCAATAGCTGCACGTTGGAGTTCTTTCGCGTTTTTGATTATGAATAAAACTGCTAAGAGCTTTTGATTACGAGTCTCGAGGTGGACACGAGTCTGTGTTTTCACTTAGATAAATACTATGCGTGGGTAGCAACCACATGTTAAGTGTGTGGTAAGTTTTATGAGAATCCGCTGTGTTTTTTTAAAGTGTCTGTGCCGTTGTCCATTTTAACCATCACTATATGAAATTTACAGTTTCTCCATATCTTCGTCAGTACTTGGTGTTGTTGGTTTTAAAAAATCTAGCCATTCTTATGGGCGTCTTGTGGTATCTTGTTATGGTTTGAATTACCAACACCCCAATGACCCAGTGACTAAGGGTGCTGAACATCTTTTCACGTCCTAATTGGCCGTCTGTGTGTCCGTCGTGATGTGCTCGTCGTTTTGATCGGGTTGTTGGGGCTCTTATTACAGAGTTCTTAGTACCCGTTCCGGACACAGGGGGATCAGTTACATGATTTCCAAGCATTTCCTCCCAAGAGTGGCTCGCTTTTCATTTTCTTAACAGCATCTTACGGCAGATTTAAAAAAAATTGCAACAAGGTCCTACTTACCGATTTCACTTTCCTAGTTCTTGCTTTATTGTGCCCTATTGAAGACATCGTTGCTTAATCCAAGGTTTCAAAGATTTTCATCTGTGTTTCCTCCTGTGTTTTATGAATTTAGGTGCGCGATTCATTTTGAGTTCATTTGTGTCTCACATGAAGCAAGGATCTTTCCCGTGCGCCACCCCCGCGCCC